ATACGAGAGCACGGGAACGATGTGCGCACATCAGCTGAGATGGCTGAGCTATGGATAGCTGCAAGTGTACATGGATGTTTATCCCCTTCGGAGTGTCCCCTCCAAAGCCGATCCCCATCTATATGTAAGTGAAGTGCTCTAAGCCCCACAGAGACCGCCAGATAGAAAACGGCTGCATTAGCTGCATTACTCGATAGAAATTGTTCCCCAGAGCGAAAATTATGCGCCCTTTTCCGGAATTTTAAAAGCGCTGCAGGGGCACTGGAACCATTATGTCGGGGTGGTCACGTAGGTGTCGATTGGTGCAGGTGAATATAATTATGGCCATAGCTTAGGCGCCAATTCGGTTCCACCGACGAGCTCCTGACAGGTGTGGGTATGTATGTATGTGTGTGCAGGTGAGCGAAAGAAATAACGGACATGCTTGGTCGGTTCGCGCCTTCACATCGGTCTACACGTGGCCTTTGGTCCAGAGTTCATTGAGATGCAAGTGTGGTTATTCATACTGAAGAAGTATTCCCGACTATCACCTGGAAGTATGAGGGGAGGCATAGTTAGACCAGAATTATGCGATTTGGGCGGGCAGTGGTAGTAATATTGATCTAACTAATATTTCTACACTGATTCATAGTTCATCTCCAACCATGAAGTTGGAATTCTGAAGTCTTCGTCCGATCAGGTAGACATCCGCCATTAACCTTCCTTTGCTTAGTACTTACCCAGGGATTGAATTATCGTGGTGCATAGGTAAATACTGCATTGGTTATGGCGTAAAGGGCCATGTACCACCTGATACTGACAGAAGTCTCGGTTCTACTCTAGAAGGCCTTCTGATGCGTACGAGAAAGTGATAAAATGCCTTGTTTCTGTAAAGTATTGGTCTTTGCCCTACTGAGGAAAACTGGGGCTACAGTGTGACCCTTGTCTTTTTCAGTTTCCTTTGAATACGGATTCATGGTTCCTTCTAGAGGCAATTAGGGATCTGTACTATAATATGAGATGAGCAGCTGAAAAACAATATTGGGAACATTATCACTGATGAAATTGTTGTTCAATGATGCAACAACTCCCTAGTTCGGTCCCCCAGCCCCTCCAACCGACCACATGCTATATGTCTGAATGGATTGACTATTTCGTCTTCAATCTGTGCAATCAGACATTAGATAGATCCCCCTGATCTGATCGTTCGCAGTGGGCGTGAAAGGGTAGAGGCATCTAATGTATTTATGGGAAGACTAATGAGTTTATCCATGAAAGGGTTGAATTTTAAGAAGTAGTAACTTTGGATGCTTCGAAATTGAGCGAAGAAGGCTCTGATAATTCACCCATGGTCCGCGGAACATTCAAGCTCGATAACTTCCTGACCAACCAAATAAACATTTCTTTAGGGTGGTAGTTTGGTGCCATGCACGTTCTGCGTATGGAAACACTGGCTTGTACATCGGCTCTCAAATATTACCTGAATGGAAATCGAATTATTAGATGCATCATAATACGGGATCTATCAATGCCAATGTTTCTATCTGGAAATGTGAATGTCATTTGAACATCTGAACGGAAGTCGAATGTGTGGGCGAATCCCTCAGACGGGGTTGATTAGTTCCCGAGACTTTATCCTTCTTCATCCGAACTTGGGAGAAGAAGCAGAAAAATCGAACAAGAATTGATTCCTTGTGGTGATGGTGAAGCTGTTTGACTTTTGATTGTTCGGCTAGTGGATTTCGATGATTTGACGTCAGCTGTTCAATTAATCGGCGAAGGGGAAAACGAGAGTGAAATTCACCCATTTTATATAGCCCAACGCCTTTTCGTTTCCGCCGATTTCGTCCCCTGTCTTAGCCAAATTACTTGGTTGAGGAAATCGGTAAAGTTCGCTTGCATGACTTTATAGCAGTAGCTAATGGAATGCATGTCACCTGATGTAGAACAGAATTATGGACGCATTTCCCGCTCAGTTTCCGGTCATTTACGGCACGCGAAGTTTTTCGTTTGCTTTTTTTTTCTCTCTCCCTCTTGGCTGAAAGGTATGTGCTTTCCGGGTTTCCCTAAGTATATGAGCAAATAGCTTTTCGCGGAAAATGCTGGCAAACCCTTCATGTCAATTCATCAATTCGGACACATGGACAGGTGTTTGAGGTGATCGTAACTGCCTTCCGTGGACCGAATCGTTCCGCGATGTTAGTGGAACGAACAGATCACGAAAGGAGGTTGTGATCAAACATGTGAAGGGCCATCCATGATGATGCGGTTTCGCCCCCATTCCTATAGCCCCACTGGATGAGATCGTCTAGGTGAATGCCCGCCTGACATGCGCATATACATAAATGCAATTTCGTAGAGGTACGTGAGTGAGAGGTGATGTGGAGGCTAGCCGGTTGGTGACGACGATTAGAGCGACAATTATGCTTGATGGCAGTTCAGTCGGCCAGCCATCCAAACGCTACCGAGGCCGAGCAAAGCATTGATTGCTTTATTGGTTACTAAGAATTTCGACGAGTTATGAGCGTCGGAAAAGCCCTTTCGTTCAAAGCATGCGCTGTTAAGAGCTCGATTCGGTTAACAGACAGCTTATCAGGATTTCGGTCTGTCAATCTGGGTTAAGCACCCAGTGGATTGCCTGAACTTTACCCTCTATCCGATTACCTGAATTCCTTCTCAGTGGAGTGGGGCGATTACGTCTTGGGCCTTGATGGTGAGGGTTACTTCGACAGCTTGATTATCACGGTCATGTGGCGGAAAAGGTCAGGATACGGTCTGAAGGTTTGGATACTGTAACTTCCCTATGGATGGGAAGAAAAAAGGAGCCTTGGATTGAGCAGGAAGTCATCCACCTGGACGGCTCACCTGAAAGCTAGTTGAGTGATAATAAAACCGCCTGAAAGGTGTCAAATGGGATCCCCACATTCAAGCTCCAGGATCGAGCGAATGGGTTTCCCTAGCAGAGGCATCTCGGCAGTTGAATTTCTTAAGTGAACTAAATCGTAAGATGTTGGAACCGGAGTATGTTGCTTGTGAACTCATTCCCTGGCT